AACGGCATATGATCCGTGTAAATAATAAATTTGCGCCAAATATTCATGGCACTTCGTTACCCATAAATAACGGCCAATGCTTCTTGCTCAATCACTGAATACCAGGTCTCTGCCGCTCTAAAAATTCTTGAGAAAAATAACACCGGCCTCTCTACCCCATCAATAGCACAGCGCTCCTCCTACACCCTTATTAGATGCATCCACTGCCAATATCACCTCCAATTCATTGTTAAAACACACTAAAACGGGTTCCTTTCCTATTCGACCTTTTAATTCTTTGAAGGACTCCTCTTGTTCATTTGTTCAATCAAATTTTCTTCCTTTCTTTAAAAATTGATATAAGGGCGCTGCTATTTAAGCAAATCCTTCCACGAACCGATGATAATAATTTACCATCCCCAAAAATGCCTATATCTTTGCTTTATTACTGGGTCTTATCATATTTTTAATTCCCGTCATATTTCTGTCCACAAGCCGCACCTCCTTTCCTGTGATCTTATGCCCCAGATAAGTCACTTCGGTAACCCCCAACACACTTTTCTCCCCGCTGGCTCTCAATCCTTTCTCCTTGATTCTTCTAAATACTTCCTCCAATCTCTGTTCGTGTTGCTCGGGATTTCTTCCCGTCACCAAGACATCATCCATATAGTAGAAAACTCCCTCCATTCCCTGGAAAACCGCAGCCATCGTACGCTGAAAAATAGGAGCTGAAACACTTAGCCCGAATGGTAATCTACAAAAGGTGAACAATTCCTTCGGCGTAGTAATCGTTAATAACTTCCTTACCTCCGGCTTTACCCGTAGTTGCAGATATGCATTAGAGAAATCCACTTTTGAAAAATAAACCCTTCCTTTTTTTTTAAAACAACGGAAGGCAAGGAAAAAAGTACAAAATGTAAAAATTAATTCTTTTTATTTTATTTTTATAACTACTAAAAAATTAAAAATTTTACAATTTTATATATATATGTTAGCGGCAATGTGAAAATTCCGGCAATGTATACATTGCCGGAATTTTTTCGGCAATGTGAGGTAGTGGTAGGCAATGTAAATGTGAGATTTCGGCAATGTATACATTGCCGAAATACCCCGGCAATGTGAACATTGCCTGGTTATTTTAGGCAATGTGTTATTTTTGTAATATTATATTATTAATAATTTTGTTTTTATTATTAATAATTTTTTTAAGATTAAAATTTTATTTGATAATTTATATTATTTTTTTAGATATAATAATATGTTTTTTAAATATATTATTTGATTGATATTTTTTTTTAAATATATTGAAATATATTATAATATATTTTAATTTGTTATATTAATTTTTTATATATTTTTTGATTGATATTTTTTATTATAATGGTTTTTTATGTTTTTTATTATAATGGTTTTTTATGTATTTATTTTTCAGGTAAATTTTTTCTTGATATATTTTTTGACTAAATATTTTTTTTATTTTTTGCTAAATATTTTTTGTGTTATATTATTTTTTTAAATATATTTTTTGATTGATATTTTTTTTAAAATAATTTTAGATAATATATTTTAATTTGTTATATTTTTTTATATATTTTTTGATTGATATTTTTTAATATAATGGTTTTTTATGTATATATTTTTCACGTATATTTTTTCTTGATATATTTTGATTGATATTTTTTTTAAAATAATTTTAGATAATATATTTTAATTTGTTATATTATTTTTTTATATATTTTTTGATTGATATTTTTTAATATAATGGTTTGTTTATGTATTTATTTTTCACGTAAATTTTTTTTTGATATATTTTTTGATAGCTAAATTTTTTTTTATTTGTGTTATTATTATTTATTTAAATATATTTTTTGATTGATATTTTTTTTAGAGATAAGATATTTTAATTTGTCATAATTTTTTTAAATATATTTTTTGATTGATATTTTTTTTAAATGATTTTTATATAATTTATTTTTAACGTAATTTTTTCTATTTTATATCTTTTGATTCCTAATTTTATAGGTAAAAGTGACAAAAGGTATAATCGTAATTTTTGAACTTTTTTAAGTTTTTAAAAGCAATTTTTAGTGAAGATGTATTATAGAAAAGTGACAATTGTCATAATCGTTATTTTTGAACATTTTTTAGTTTTTTTAAAGTAAATAGTTAAAATTATGTTTTGTAAAAATGTTAAATTAATATTTCAGTGAAGATGTACTATGGAAAAGTGACAATTGTCATAATCGTTATTTTTGAACATTTTTGATTTTTTTTAAAGTAAATAGTTAAAATTATGTTTTGTAAACATGTTAAATTAATATTTCAGTGAAGATTTACTATGGAAAAGTGACAATTGTCATAATCGTTATTTTTGAACATTTTTTAGTTTTTTCAAAGTAAATAGGTAAAAATATGTTTTGTAAACATGTTAAATTAATATTTCAGTGAAGATGTACTATGGAAAAGTGACAATTGTCATAATCGTTATTTTTAAACATTTTTTAGTTTTTTTAAAGTAAATAGGTAAAAATATGTTTTGTAAAAATGTTAAATTAATATTTCAGTGAAGATGTACTATGGAAAAGTGACAATTGTCATAATCGTTATTTTTGAACATTTTTTAGTTTTTTTAAAGTAAATAGGTAAAAATATGTTTTGTAAAAATGTTAAATTAATATTTCAGTGAAGATGTACTATGGAAAAGTGACAATTGTCATAATCGTTATTTTTGAACATTTTTTAATTTTTCAAAGTAAATAGGTAAAAATATGTTTTGTAAACATGTTAAATTAATATTTCAGTGAAGATGTACTATGGAAAAGTGACAATTGTCATAATCGTTATTTTTGAACATTTTTTAGTTTTTTCAAAGTAAATAGGTAAAAATATGTTTTGTAAACATGTTAAATTAATATTTCAGAGAAGATGTACTATGGAAAAGTGACAATTGTCATAATCGTTATTTTTGAACATTTTTTAGTTTTTTTAAAGTAAATAGGTAAAAATATGTTTTGTAAACATGTTAAATTAATATATCAGTGAAGATGTATTATGGAAAAGTGACAATTGTCATAATCATTATTTTTGAACTTTTATGATTTTTTTTAAAGTAAATAGTTAAAATTATGTTTTGTAAACATGTTAAATTAATATTTCAGTGAAGATTTACTATGGAAAAGTGACAATTGTCATAATCGTTATTTTTGAACATTTTTTAGTTTTTTTAAAGTAAATAGGTAAAAATATGTTTTGTAAACATGTTAAATTAATATATCAGTGAAGATGTATTATGGAAAAGTGACAATTGTCATAATCATTATTTTTGAACTTTTTTGATTTTTTTTAAAGTAAATAGTTAAAATTATGTTTTGTAAACATGTTAAATTAATATTTCAGTGAAGATTTACTATGGAAAAGTGACAATTGTCATAATCGTTATTTTTGAACATTTTTTAGTTTTTTTAAAGTAAATAGGTAAAAATATGTTTTGTAAACATGTTAAATTAATATTTCAGTGAAGGTGTACTATGGAAAAGTGACAATTGTTATAATCGTTATTTTTGAACTTTTTTGATTTTTTTTAAAGTAAATAGTTAAAATTATGTTTTGTAAACATGTTAAATTAATATTTCAGTGAAGATTTACTATGGAAAAGTGACAATTGTCATAATCGTTATTTTTGAACATTTTTTAGTTTTTTTAAAGTAAATAGGTAAAAATATGTTTTGTAAACATGTTAAATTAATATTTCAGTGAAGGTGTACTATGGAAAAGTGACAATTGTTATAATCGTTATTTTTGAACTTTTTTGATTTTTTTTAAAGTAAATAGGTAAAAATATGTTTTGTAAAAATGTTAAATTAATATTTCAGTGAAGATGTACTATGGAAAAGTGACAATTGTCATAATCGTTATTTTTGAACATTTTTTAGTTTTTTTAAAGTAAATAGGTAAAAATATGTTTAGTAAACGTGTTAAATTAAAATTTCAGTTTAGATATGTTTTATAGTATATAGACACTAACAGGAATATTAACATTAAAATTCCTAAATTCGCTATTATTTATATATTGAAAATTAAAGATGAATTATTTTCCTGTAAATCGTCAATGCCTTGATTTGATTAATTTCGAGATTTCAGCATGAATACATTAATGACCTCAAATGATAAAAAATTTTACTATTACGATTACACCTTAATCTTCATAGCAGCCGGAAATGTTTTTTAACATAATTTATAATAGTAGACCGATGTATAAATAAAATATTTTTAGGATTAATCTATTTTTTTCTAAAATATTAACTGCGAAATATTTAAATATAGAATCCTGCATCGGTATTTGTATATCAACTAACTATAATATCTTTGACTTATTTATTTCAATTCTGTGAGTAAATATATTTTAAATATTTATTCACTTTAGTGAACTATCTAAAATTACAAGTTAGAGCTATTGAGATGTATATCTATCACTAAATACATTTTCATGAATATATTTATAAACGAAATAAATTTTAGCAATTAACTATGTTGCAATATAGCGTACATTAAATACTATTAGCCCTTATATTTATTACTAAGATTATGCGTCAAACATTATAAGTTCATCTAAGATTTTTTCGAGAAATAAAGGCCTTTGAGTAACTTTTTTTATACTATATTTTATTGATAAATGCTAGGCTCTCTGTTTGAAGGCCTTTGGCCAGTTATTGTTTTAAATTTTCTTTAGGTTTATACTCTTTTTTTAAAAAAAAATTTCTCACAAATTTTATAAGGTCGATATTTTTAATATTTTTGTGACATAGTAGTATATTCTTAATTTTTTTAAATAATTTTTTTACTTCCCCCCTCCCCCCAACTTTATACGCAACTTAATATTATGTTAAAATACATTTTTACGCCATATTATTAATGGATTGGTAGCAAGCCTTCCCTATAAGACTATATCTTCATAATAGAAAAAACAATATTTACAATACACAATTTTTATTACTATATAATTCTATATAAATATAAATGAATCATTTATTTTGACATAAATTATTTTTTGTATGACAATGTGAATTGCAGGACACATTAGATGCCTTGCATTTGCATCTATTTGTCCTACAATTTTGTTTACAATGGCAACGTTTAAAACCTTGCCCAGAGCCTATTGAAGACATGCCAACCATTGTTCTAAAGGTATGACAACTTGGTGGCACATCTCCAACGTTAATATAGTTTTTTTTTGCTAGGTCAAATTGTGACCTAGCATAATGACCAGATAAATGGCCACGACTTGTTCCTAATTTGTAAAATCCATCTGTGGATTTATCTGTAATTACTCCCAATAGCATTTTATGATCCAGTCTCCCTTGATCGACTGGTGGAATTGGCAATAATACGGAATCACCAATTTCTCCAGGTTTTAGTTTTTTGTCGCTATCTCTTTTCATCTTTGTAGCTTGTAGTAATAAACCCTCTTTCGAAATTTTCCTAATTTTCTTGATCGCATTAATATGTTTGCGAATGGTATCGTCTTCGGTAGCTATAAAATATTTGAATAGTTTTACAAGATAAAAGCATCACTTTATACTAGGTATAAAAATATGATTATACAAAAATTAGACGAAAATTGAATCGTAATGTAGGATTTTAAAGAAATATATTTTTTTCAAAGAGAAAAATTTTAAATAATTTCTAATCATTTAAAATAATTTGTCATTAAGATTTATATTATAATTTTAAAAAATATTTCTAATAAAAATATATACCTAGATCAGGAGAGGGGCAATATATTTGGACAGACTTGTGATTCTTTTCACATTCCGCTGTAAAATATTATATAATATTCTATACGTATCATTATTAACAAATAAAAATGCATTTCTTACAAAACTAATGGTTTAGAAAGCCCCTTGAAGTGGTTTGCCTCAGCCCGCTATTGGGGCTTGTTGGACAATTTTTACTTTTACAAAAAATAAAATTAAAAAAAAAAGACTATATTCTTAAATTTTTTTATAAGACACCTTTATAGAGTATAGTTTTAGGTATCTAATCATATATATTTTTTATATTATCTAAAAAAACCAGGAGCTAGCCAATTTTGTAAAAATCGGTTCGACTAACCCCAGTCTCCCCTAACTGTAAAATATTATATGTTAACTAATGCATCTTAAAAATATATACCAGGATCCGGTGTTATACAATCTTCTCGGATAGAATTGCTATTGTTTTCAAAATCAACTACAAAATATTATATGTTAACTAATGCAACTTAAAAATATATACCAGGATCCGGTGATATACAATCTTCTCGGATAGAATTGCTATTGTTTTCAAAATCAACTACAAAATATTATATGTTAACTAATGCATCTTAAAAATATATACCAGGATCCGGTGATATACAATCTTCTCGGATAGAATTGCTATTGTTTTCAAAATCAACTACAAAATATTATATATGTTAACTAATGCATCTTAAAAATATATACTAGGATCCGGTGACACATAATTTTCTCGGATAGAATTGCTATAGTTTTCAAAATCAACTACAAAATATTATATGTTAACTAATGGATCTTAAAAATATATACCAGGATCCGGTGTTATACAATCTTCTCGGATAGAATTGCTATTGTTTTCAAATTCATCTACAAAATATTATATTTTAATTAAATAAAAATATATTACCAGAATCTTCCGAATCTGTATAATTTACCAGATTATGGAAATAGCTTTTATCGTCATCCAAATAAGCTATAATATATTATAACGAATTTATTGTATAATAATAAAAGAATATACCAGTATCATCTCCTGTATCTTCCAATTTTTCTGGTTTAAATAAATTTATAATTGCATAAATATAATTTAATTATACTTGTCAAAGAGGAATCCCAGATATTAGGTTTATGTCCAAACATAACCTCATAGGGTGATGATTTGATTCCTCTATGATAAGATATATTTTTTTGGAACTGGATCGTTCCCAACGCATTAGCCCAACACGTTGTTTTGTTATCATGAAGAAAACAGCGTAATTTATTCTAAAAAATATCTAAATTAATTTATTTTGTTTTAAGATAAATACCATAATATCTTTATTGGCACGCTCGACCGATCCCTGAGATTGGGAGTGCCTTGGTCTTCCATGGACCATTTTACAGCCAGGCCACATCTCCACTATCTTTTGGATGGTCTAAAAAAATATTGATATATTTGTATAGTAATTAAATGGTATCAAAGAGTCCATGGGATGCTAACTATCATCTTATATTTTAAACATTAAAAAATAACCCAAAATTTTTAAAATATTTGTCTCCCAATTATAATTTAAAATGATGCTTATATTTAGCAAAAATACCATAATATAAAATAATTTATTTTATTTTCCATGTTTAAATATTTTTATGTTTTAAAAACTAAATAAAATTTAAATTCTACTTCGTTTTTAAATTCCCGTCCATTGTCTGTGTGAAGAATGGAAGGCGCGCCAAATAAATTGAATATAGATGTCAAATGTTCCGCCACATCTTGAGAAGTTTTATTTTTCATAGGTTTCAAAATCACAAACTTTGTGAAGTGATCTTGGTATACGAAAATATATTTATTTTCGCCATCTGGTTGTGATTGCATATCAATCAGGTCCATCTAAAAATATCGAAATTAATATTTTTATAATGAGAACGGTAATATTAACATACGTTTTTTTACAATTTCATATTTATAATAAGATTATTAAATAATATATTAAGTATATGGCCAGTCAATACATATAATGTTTTAACTGGCTTTAAAAACAACTTTCACATAACCTCATTAGCTCATAAAGTATGTTATAACCAAGATTTTAAGCACGAATATATGGTGGGGGGGGGGGAGACTGACCTAAAATTTTCATTAAAATTAAGGGGGTAGATTTCTAAAATTTATAATATTTTTATATAAAATTAAATTTAAAATAGGATTTAATAATAAATGTGTTTTAACTTTATAATTTTTCTGCTATTAGGGTTATCAGCTAAACCAAAATATAACTTCTATAAAGTAGCCACTTAAAGGTATGGACAAAAACTCAAAAAAAATAAACAAAGTTGCACTTTAAAAGAAAAGCAAAAAATAGTGTTATTAAACGACTCGATTGAGCCGATTTTTAAATTCGGCTAACTCTTTATCGACAAAAATATTAAACAAGCCTAAAGATTTTGCTCTTAGATGGCACAACGGTTTAGACATTTATTAGCAAAATCCAGGCTAAAATATTGAGTTAGCCGTTTTTTAAAAAAGGCTCAAAATGAAACGTTTAATAACACTAACAAATAAGAAAAATCAATTTCAATTGTATTTTACTTGACATCGAGAATTATGATCTTTTGAAATAATAGGATTGGTAACTAATCCAATATTTCTTTTGCCTTTCTTTAACTGGCATTCCACACATGTGTTGAGGTAAACTTCAATGATTTCCCTTGTTATATTGTAATAGCGTGTCTTTAATGTTTCGTGAAGAATATCTCTTCTCCCATGTCCTGTGAATAGATGACATTTGTGGATTGTGTCATATAAATGGTCAATGTTTAATACAATTTTTCCATTTTTATGAATTAAAATATTATTTTGATTTAATTCAAAATTTCTGGAATTATAACTTTTTATATTTGAAATTACGTTATTGTATTTTTCCTTCGAAAAAATTTTAGAATTTTTATTTTTTATATTAAAAATTTGAGAATAGTTTGAATAAAATTCTTCCATTATAAATGTGTAAAAAATATTTGAGAATAAATTTTTTTTCTAGAAAAATAAAAATTTTTTTAAATAAAATTATGGATCATAATAATTTTTATTGTTATCCCGATCTTTATTTTGAGAATAATTTTTTTTTCTAGAAAATTCAAGAATTTATAAATCATAATAAATTTCATTGATACGCCCAATTTATTTATTTTAAAAAAAACAAATAAAATAGAAAAGGAAAAAATATTTGTTTCCTAAAACATTTATTTATATTTATTAAAATTTTTATAAAACTTTAAAGCAGAAATTTTGCCATCTATATATTTAATTTTTCTCTATAAAAAAGAATCATTATATTTTTAAAATGGAAGAAGAATTTTATTCAAACTATTCTCAAATTTTTAATATAAAAAATAAAAATTCTAAAATTTTTTCGAAGGAAAAATACAATAACGTAATTTCAAATATAAAAAGTTATAATTCCAGAAATTTTGAATTAAATCAAAATAATATTTTAATTCATAAAAATGGAAAAATTGTATTAAACATTGACCATTTATATGACACAATCCACAAATGTCATCTATTCACAGGACATGGGAGAAGAGATATTCTTCACGAAACATTAAAGACACGCTATTACAATATAACAAGGGAAATCATTGAAGTTTACCTCAAAACATGTAAGATATGCCAGTTAAAGAAAGGCAAAAGAAATATTGGATTAGTTACCAATCCTATTATTTCAAAAGATCATAATTCTCGATGTCAAGTAAAATACAATTGAAATTGATTTTTCTTATTTGTTAGTGTTATTAAACGTTTCATTTTGAGCCTTTTTTAAAAAACGGCTAACTCAATATTTTAGCCTGGATTTTGCTAATAAATGTCTAAACCGTTGTGCCATCTAAGAGCAAAATCTTTAGGCTTGTTTAATATTTTTGTCGATAAAGAGTTAGCCGAATTTAAAAATCGGCTCAATCGAGTCGTTTAATAACACTATTTTTTGCTTTCTTTTAAAGTACAACTTTGTTTATTTTTTTGAGTTTTTGTCACTACCTATACCATAATAATACTATCCAATTCTAAAATTTCCAATGATCATAATGCTGGATGTCAAGTTAGATTTAAATTTATTATATGACGATACATTTTTTTTATATTTTAAGATTAACCTGATCGATATGCAATCAAACCCTGATCGTGAAAATAAATATATTTTAGTATACCAAGATCTTTTCACAAAGTTTGTGATTTTGAGGCCGATTAAAAACAAAACGGCTACCAATTTGGCAAAACATTTGATTTCTATATTTAATATATTTGGAGCTCCCAAAATACTCTACACAGATAATGGGCGTGAATTAAAAAACGAAGTTAAATTTAAATTAAAATATTTTATGATTACTATTAGTGTTGTTAAAAAGTCGAGTTCACCCGACTCCGAATCAGAATCTCTAGTCGTTAGTCGACTAACACAAGTCGTGAAATCGGGTCGTGAACTCAAGTCGACTAGAGGACGAATATTTTTTTAAACTTGAGTCGTCGACTAGTGGACGAATATTTTAAATTTATTATTAATAAAAATAGATTTGTTCTGTTTTTTTAAATTTTTTATTTTAGACTTCCAACTTGAGATGTAAATAGGAATTATATACTTGAGTCGAATAGAGGACGAATAGTTCTATGAAGATGAACCTGAGTCGACTAGAGGACGAATATATCAAATTAGTTATTATTTATTAAGAAGTCGACTCAAGTATATAGACTTGAGTTCACGACTCGAGTTCATAACTCAAGTCAGTTTGGGTCGATTTTTTCGACCCTAAACTTAGACTCAGTTTTCGACTAAGTCGACTCGACTCAGTCGATTAACAACACTAATTTACTATGGTATAATAATATTTTTCAGAGCATCCAAAAGCTCGTAGATATGTGGCCGGGATGCAAAATAATGCACGGAAGACGAAAAGATTCCATATCTCATGGATTAGTCGAGCGTGCTAATAAAGATATTATGGTATTTATATTAAAACAAAATAAATTAATTTAGATATTTTTTAGAATAAATTACGCTGTTTTCTTCATGATAACAAAACAACGTGTTGGGCTAATGCGTTGGGAACGATCCAGTTCCAAAAAAATATATCTTATCATAGAGGAATCAAATCATCACCCTATGAGGTTATGTTTGGACATAAACCTAATATCTGGGATTCCTCTTTGACAAGTATAATTAAATTATATTTATGCAATTATAAATTTATTTAAACCAGAAAAATTGGAAGATACAGGAGATGATACTGGTATATTCTTTTATTATTATACAATAAATTCGTTATAATATATTATAGCTTATTTGGATGACGATAAAAGCTATTTCCATAATCTGGTAAATTATACAGATTCGGAAGATTCTGGTAATATATTTTTATTTAATTAAAATATAATATTTTGTAGATGAATTTGAAAACAATAGCAATTCTATCCGAGAAGATTGTATAACACCGGATCCTGGTATATATTTTTAAGATCCATTAGTTAACATATAATATTTTGTAGTTGATTTTGAAAACTATAGCAATTCTATCCGAGAAAATTATGTGTCACCGGATCCTAGTATATATTTTTAAGATGCATTAGTTAACATATATAATATTTTGTAGTTGATTTTGAAAACAATAGCAATTCTATCCGAGAAGATTGTATATCACCGGATCCTGGTATATATTTTTAAGATGCATTAGTTAACATATAATATTTTGTAGTTGATTTTGAAAACAATAGCAATTCTATCCGAGAAGATTGTATATCACCGGATCCTGGTATATATTTTTAAGTTGCATTAGTTAACATATAATATTTTGTAGTTGATTTTGAAAACAATAGCAATTCTATCCGAGAAGATTGTATAACACCGGATCCTGGTATATATTTTTAAGATGCATTAGTTAACATATAATATTTTACAGTTAGGGGAGACTGGGGTTAGTCGAACCGATTTTTACAAAATTGGCTAGCTCCTGGTTTTTTTAGATAATATAAAAAATATATATGATTAGATACCTAAAACTATACTCTATAAAGGTGTCTTATAAAAAAATTTAAGAATATAGTCTTTTTTTTTTAATTTTATTTTTTGTAAAAGTAAAAATTGTCCAACAAGCCCCAATAGCGGGCTGAGGCAAACCACTTCAAGGGGCTTTCTAAACCATTAGTTTTGTAAGAAATGCATTTTTATTTGTTAATAATGATACGTATAGAATATTATATAATATTTTACAGCGGAATGTGAAAAGAATCACAAGTCTGTCCAAATATATTGCCCCTCTCCTGATCTAGGTATATATTTTTATTAGAAATATTTTTTAAAATTATAATATAAATCTTAATGACAAATTATTTTAAATGATTAGAAATTATTTAAAATTTTTCTCTTTGAAAAAAATATATTTCTTTAAAATCCTACATTACGATTCAATTTTCGTCTAATTTTTGTATAATCATATTTTTATACCTAGTATAAAGTGATGCTTTTATCTTGTAAAACTATTCAAATATTTTATAGCTACCGAAGACGATACCATTCGCAAACATATTAATGCGATCAAGAAAATTAGGAAAATTTCGAAAGAGGGTTTATTACTACAAGCTACAAAGATGAAAAGAGATAGCGACAAAAAACTAAAACCTGGAGAAATTGGTGATTCCGTATTATTGCCAATTCCACCAGTCGATCAAGGGAGACTGGATCATAAAATGCTATTGGGAGTAATTACAGATAAATCCACAGATGGATTTTACAAATTAGGAACAAGTCGTGGCCATTTATCTGGTCATTATGCTAGGTCACAATTTGACCTAGCAAAAAAAAACTATATTAACGTTGGAGATGTGCCACCAAGTTG